GTCATCAGTAGAGTAAAACTAATTTGTCTCACGCCGGTCTAAACCCAGCTTACGTTCCCTATTGGTGGGTGAACATCCTACACTTGGTGAATATTTCTCAGATATTCCTGAGGCTACTATCTATTTCTAAGTTGTTCCGCAGAGATATAGAGACAGAAGAAAAGCTGAGGGGAACTACTGCATTCCCTCATTGAAGAACATATCATTTATGAAGTATAATTTGTTGATACTTCAGGAAAATACTGGTATACAAGTGTTAGAACATGCATTTCTTGGAGGTTCCCATACTGATAGATAAATGATAGAAATCTATGGTTTCTCTTCTTAATAACCTGTGTGACCGATCACAAAGCAATGATCCACAAGTGATGGGATATAAGAAATTTTCGCAATTAGAGAAACTTTTGAGATAGGATGTAATTTCAAGATTTATGTGATTTTCCCTAATTATAATGGAGATTGTATATGTAAGATCAATATGAAAGGACAAAGTCATCATTTACAATTTCATGCCAACTTCAAATGTTCTTTTATTTTTAGTTAGAGCTTCAAATGTTATATTAGCTCATACTACTGCAGTCCGCAGTACCTTGACTATTTACATTTGATTATATGTCTTTGTTGAATATGACTTAGGCCTAACTCACACCCCAAACATCGGGTGAGATAGGACCTGCCTGATATCATGTTAAATTAGGTCTAACGTCTAACTTACACCTCAAAAGCTATCTTAAAGGAACAAGGATTGTCCAAACCTCATAAGGAAGTCCACCCATCTCATTAACCACCGATATGGGACTTTGGTCATTCTTTAACTGTTCTGTTTCAAGGTTGTGATATTTATTTACATTCATCATTGTAATGTTGTTGCTTTAATTCTCAACTGAGGAACATATAAGTGAAATAGGATAAATTGCAAACTATTCATTTGAATTTATGTGGTCGGAGGTTCACCGAGGCCCAAGGGTATGACCCGGTGATCAATGAAGTGAGTTAAGAATCATGACTCATGAGGTCTCAGGTTTGAGTTTAGGTTGGTATATTGGTGATTCATTAACTTACATTCTTGGTTGTGAATTGTTTGTTGTCCTGTTCTCTTTGGATTTGTAAATTTATTATGATTTTCAGACTGCATGACTATTTATCTGATTAAATTAACTATGTTATCATCGAAGTCAATTTGCCAGCCATATGGAAAATATACATTTAATTAGCAGAGACTGATTGTATTTGGTTGCTTGTGCAAACTGTTTTTTTGTTTGTTGAGAATCCAATGATTTGAAGGCCGGCCGAAAAATTGTAATTATATAGTTAAATTGATGTCATAATGGTCCCAAAAATGGCGAGGCGATTGCTGAATGCCTCTCTGAATTGCAATCTGAATCTCATGAGAATCAGCAGAAAGCTCTGCTAACTTCGGTTTCAATCACAAAGGTGAGTCCTCAAAATCAAAACTTGTTAATGCAAACAAATGGTGTTGTTTCTACCTTTCTCAGCTTATCGATGTCTCCATCATCAACTATTATTCAACTCCTATGTAGTTTGGCGATACTATGCTTGCTGGCGAGGTTTGAAGAGGGACTAACTGCTTTGAAAGAGATGGATAAAATCGTAGCATTACTAATCGAAATTTTGAAGGGGAAATGTATGTTGAGTAAAGAGGGAGCTGCTGATATTTTACTCTGTTTATTCGATGGAAGTGAGGGATGCATACGAGATGCTTTGAGGCTGCCTGAGTTTTCGTCTGTACTAGCTGATCACTCGGTTAGAGGGTCAGTGAGAGCTTGAGAGAAGGCTAGTTTACTCATGAAGAAACTAATGGAAGCTAACATGGATGCTGTTTATGGTGATCCTGGCAACAAAACAGCTGCATATTTGCAATGGTAGTACGACATAATGTCCGTAGATGTAGATTCTGGATTAAATTTAGTTTCATTGACAACTAGGTAAGTCATCATTTGCAGCAAGAATATACACTAAACATCAGCACTAATTTTCTTATTTTGTTTCTGGTTCTTTAAGTTTGTTATGTACATTTGATTGGAGGTAAAAACTCCCGTTTTTAGCTTTTCGCTCAAACAAGTTCTCATACTTCTGTAAGAAAAATGTGTCACAAGATAATGGCAAACACTTAAACAAACCTGCATAATTTCTTCCCATGATGAACTGTCTTGCCTCTGCTTCCATCATGGTTTTGCTAGCTCTTCGAGGTAAAATAATTCATTTTTCATTGACCTCAATCACATTAGCCACATTTGAACTATGCAAAACAAAGGACTAAATCACACTTGTTCCGAACTTTGTGGAAATACAAAATCAGACAAGACTAGAAATGTTCATGTACAACAAAGGATAAAATGAGAAAAGGTCGTTTGAGAAAGTTTAATCATGTCCTATGTTGACCTCTGATGCACTAATCCATGAATGTGAAACTATAATCAGAATGTGTTAAGAGAAAGAGGTAAACCTACAATCTCTTGGAATTTATGCATATTTAGCATAACTAGTTGAAATTATAGTTTAGTCATGTTGGGAAGTTGACATTAGGTCTAATGTTTGCTTAGAGCTTGTTAATGTTTTGCATATTAATAGAAAATGTGCAACTCTAGTGATGGATAACTTAAATTGTTGAGTATTCGAATTGGACGGGTCCATATTGTGCAAAGATTCAGATCCAACAAGTCTGGGATCTAAGTCTTTTTTTCTCTTTTTGCTTCCTTGATGACTCAAATTATAACCTTATTTTTTTTAAGAGAATATCTTTTAGAGATGATTTTTTTTTAATTGCGTATTTTTTTGAAATCTACATGGTAAACCCAATTTCCTTATCCGATTTTACTTTCATTTTTTCCTTATATATGATCAAAAACCGATAAATGTAAAACTATAAATCTTATGTAAAGTTTGTTCGCATAGATATCAAAAATATAAGCAGATTGAAAAAAAAAATCGTCTCAATCGGACATCGGAGGCATGATTTATGCCCGTTTGAAGTTCAAAAATTCACAACTATCCCTTTTACGTTATATGAGGTGACACTTCATGACCGTAACTTTTGACTTGAATATCTTTTAGAGACGATTATTTTTTAAAATTGCTTATTTTTTCGATATCTATGTGGTAAACTCAATTCCCTTATCCGATTTGACTTTCATTTTTTTCTTAAAATTTTATCCTATATTTGGTCAAAAACTGATAAGTGTAAAACTATAAATCATATGTGGTGTTTTTTGCGTAGATATCGAAAAAAATAAAAAGATTAAAAAAATTGCCTCAATCAAACATCGGAGGCACGATTTATATACGTTTGAAGTTCAAAAATTCACAACTACCCTTTTTACGTTACATTTGGTGAAACTTCAAATGAACGTAACTTTTGCCTCGAATATCTTTTAGAGTCTATTCTTTTTTTAAAGTTGCTTATTTTTTAGAGATCTACATGGTAAACTCAATTCCCTTGTCCGATTTTACTTTCATTTTTTCCTTATAGTTTTACCCTATATATGGTCAAAAACCATTTTCTCGAGTAGATATCGAAAAAATATGCATATTCAATAAAAAAAAATTGTCTCGATCGGACATCGGACGCACGATTTATGTCCACTTGAAGATTCAAAATTCACATCTACCTTTTACGTTACATTTGGTATTTGGTGAAACTTCAAATGACTGTAACTTTTGCCTCGAATATCTTTTAAATAAAGGCAATTCTTTTTTTAAAAGTTGCTTATTTGTTTGAGATCTACGTGGTAAACTTAATTCCCTTATCCTATTTAACTTTCCTTTTTTCCTTATAATTTTACCCTATATATGTGATCAAAAATCGATAAATGTAAAACTATAAATCCTAACTCGGTGTGTAGTATTTTTTAGCGTAGATATCGAAAAAATAAGCAGGTTGAAAAGAAAATCACCTCAATCGGACAACGGAGGCACGACTTTTGTCCGTTTGAAATTCAAAAATTCACAACTACCGCTTTTACGTTACATTTGGTGAAACTTCAAATGATGGTATCTTTTGCTGCAAATATCTTTTAAAGGCGATTCTTTTTTTAAAGTTGCTTATTTTTTCTACATCTACTGGTAAATTCAATTCCCTTATCCGATTTGACTTTAACTTTTTTCTTATAATATTACCCTATATTTGGTCAAAAATCGATAAATATTAAACTATAAATTCTATCTCAGTGTGTGGTGTTTTTTCGTGTAGATATATAAAAATAAGCAGATTGAAAAAAATCACCTCGATCGGACATTGGAGACACGATTTTTAGTTCAAAAATTCACAACTACCCCTTTTACCTTACATTTGGTGAAACTTGAATGACCGTAACTTTCGCCTCGAATATCTTTTAAAGGCTTTTTGCCTCGAATATCTTTTAGAGGCAATTTTTTAAAGTTGCTTATTTTTATCTACGTGGTAAACTCAATTCTCTTATCCGATTTGACTTTCACTGTTTCCTATAATTTTACCATATATTTGATCCAAAATCATTAAATGTGAAACCGTAATCTTATATCAAGGTGTGGTATATTTTCGCGTAGATATTGAAAAAATAAGCAGATTGAATAAAAAAATCGCCTCGATCGGACATTGGAGACACGATTTATGTTTGTTTGAATTTCAAAAATTCACAACTACTCCTTTTACGTTACATTTGGTGAAAATTTAAATATCTTTTAGGGGCGATTCTTTTTCAAAGTTGCTTATTTTTTCAAGATCTACGTGATAAATTTAATCCCCTTATCCGATTTGACATTCATTATTTTCTTATAATTTAACCCTATATATAGTCAAAAACTAATAAATTTAAACTATAAATCTTATCTTAGTGTGTGATATTTTTTCGCATAGATATCGAAAAATAAGCAAATTGATAAAAAAATTACCTCGATCGGACATCGGAGGCACCATTATGTCCGTTTGAAGTTCAAAAATTCACAAGTACCCCTTTTACCTTACATTTGGTGAAACTTAAAATGACCGATAATTTTTAGAAGCGATTCTTCTTTTAAACTTGCTTATTTTTTTTAGATCTATATGGTAGACCCAATCCCTTTGATCTATTTGACTTCGTTTTTTCCTTATAATTTTGCCCTATTTATGGTCAAAAACCGATAAACGTAAAACTATAAGTCCTTTGGAAATGCGTGGGGTTGTTTCGCATAGATATCGACAAAATAATCAGGTTGGAAAAAAATTGGCTCGATCGGACATGGAATGCACGTTTCATGTCTGTTTAAAGTTCAATTTTTCACAAGTAATCCTTTAAAGTCACATTTCGTGAAACTTCAAATGGCCGTAGATTTTTAGTTGGGCATCTTTTTGGGGCGATTTTTTTTAAACTTGCTTATTTTTTTGAGATCTACACATTGGACCCAATCCCTTTGACCGATTTGACTTTTGATTTTTCTTTATAATTTTGCCCTATATATGGTCAAAAACCGATAAACGTAAAACTATAAGTCCTATGGAAGTGCGTGATATTTTTTTTGCATAGATATCGAAAGACTAATCAAGTTGGAAAAAAACTGACTCGATCGGACTTCGGATGCGCGTTTTATATCCGTTTGAAGTTTAAATTTTCACAAGTACCTCTTTAAAGTCACATTATGTGAAACTTCAAATGGCCGTAGATTTTTTCCTCGAGCATCTTTTTGGGGCGATTCTTTTTTTAAACTTGCTTATTTTTTTGATATCTACGCAGCAGACCTAATCCCTTTGACCGATTTTCCATTCCTTTTTT